AAGTATGCAATTCAACCTGATATTAAACAAGCTATTTCTTCAACTAACTTGTTCCATATATTAATGGACTCTAATTCTTCGTTTGGAATGTTAGCCCTATAATTACTTATTGCTTCAATTAAGTAAGTATTTTCGCTTGCCCAGATATACAAATCGGCTAAACACGACCATGCAACCTTTAGGCCCAGCCCAGTTTCCACCAAAGCGGAGAGAAGAAAAAACGAGAGATGTGTTTTGAATAACCAATTTATTATTTCCACATCATCTCTTCTTCGCTCAGATTCAGTTCGGAAATCTGATTGGTTATTCAAACAAAACACATCTCCTCTTCTCTTCCACGCTTTGGTGGAAACCGGGCCTAAGCCAATTTGAATAAAATATTTCACTTTTATCTTAAACATTTTTGTATTATGATAATAAAGATAATTACTCATACATGAAACATTTAAGCAGACTTAACGAAAACATTAAAATGTTAGTTAAGATGAACGAAGACAGCGCGAAAACGAAATCTTTGGAAAGTGCATGTCAGTTACGTCAAAGCCAATTCCAGTCAGGTGTATGTTAACGCGTCGCTTAGAAGCAATTTACAATTAGTGTGTCAATAGAAACAGCACATTAACACTGCGAGATAATTACTACGGCTTAACTACCAGTTAAGGTGAAGATGTGGCGTCACTAACAGGATTTTTCCGCAAATGGAGGAAAGCCTTTTTTAAAGGGCATGGTTATGAATTCTATTGTTTGATTCAGAGTTAACATTGAGGTGAATAATTAATTTGACGTTTTGCTAGTTTCTGTTCTCAAAATTGTTAACATTTTGCGATTTGTTAAAGGTTCACAGTTTGCAAAATGCTGGTTTTGCGAAATGCACATCATGTGCCCCTTGTGAGAAATGTACCTGCTGCGTTTACATTTTGAGTCGAGTGCTCATTTTGCAAAGTGCACATACTACATAGAACTCATCGACGCACACATACTATCCTGAACAGTTTGATTATCTTTCACAGGGCCATAATTCTGAAAAGTTAAATAATTAGACCTTGTCAAGTTCCGCATAAAACTCAATTTATTGCAGTTACAACAAAATAATTTGCCCGACGTTATGGCATTCCTACACTCCCTGGTTCGCCACGCTTGGCTGGTCCGGAACGCATTCAGAAAGAATAACACCCATTACCTAGGCAGAACGAGCATGTCCTTTTAAGCCACTATACTGTACATATGAATGAAGCAGATTAGCAATTACTGTCCACATTTGTTTCGTGAAGTTTTGATTGTGGCCGTCATAATAATAACGCATAGTTAGTTACCGGAATGTTCATAATGTTCTTACATTGAATTGGATCTTTGAGGTAATGTGTAAAGTCATCCATGTTCTCAGCAGCAGCAGGTAGAAGTTGTATACTTCCTGCTGGCTTTGAAAAAAAAAATAGTTTTACACATTTTACTAAATGCGTACTTTGGATTTAAGTATAAAAACTATTGTGATAGATATGCTATTTATTTCAATTGAAATAAATAGGGAAATGAAATTCAAAATAGATTGAGTAATTTTTATGAATGAACGAAGAAACTGTGCGTGTGCAAAATACTAGAGTTGGAGAAAAGCGTGACAAAATTAATGACACAATGCATTTATAGTATATTCCTTATCACAATTGTTTTAGTACAAACTATTTCATTTAATATTTTGTAGATATAGCCCATATCGCAGGTTTCTGTCCCTATGTTAGATGCATACCTACTTATAACCCTATGGGAAAACAAATTTATTTTATTGTAGGTCATAATTTTGTACATTTACTTAGTAACCGCGGATTTTGCGTATTAACAGGGTGTCAACAAGTCAAATACGAGTAGTAGGCCAAACTTGATAAAAAAAACTAAAAATAAAACCTACAGGAAGAGGCGGGTTTACGTAGCCAGTTTCTGAAGGCATCCGCTTTCAGTTCCGATGGCCTTTACGGTGTGTAGATTCGAGGCTCAGCGTTAGTTGGTTGTTAAAAATCATTAAAATTAGTTATGTCTGTATGTCTAATGGGGCGGATATGATAATGGACAACAAATACCGGGTGTGCAAGAACACGAAACCAACGAAACCGACACTAGTTTCGTCATGAGATTCTGTTATTGGCTCCGTGCACGATTACAGCGCCAACTAGCGTCCACAACTTTGTGGGCTCTGTCACATTGACATTTAGGTCGTATATTTGTGAAAAAATATCGAAATGAAAAAATAACAAATATTTTCAACTAATAAATTGTTGTGATACCACGATTTGGGTGGAAAAAAGGTTTTGAAATCATTTTGGTCATTCAAATCAAATGAGGTAAGTCCAAAAAGTGTGTTTAATTTTGATTGTGTCAGGGTTTGTTTACTTCATTTACAGTTGTAGTTTTACAGTAAAACAAAAAGAAAAAGCTACTTTAACGGTTTCATTATATAACAGTAAATATATTTAAATGTTTCTGTATCGCTAGTAATAAATTAAATATCGTTTTCAGATCGAAATGAGTATCGTTTTGAAGACCGGGTTTGTGAGAGTTACAATATCAAATTCCAACCACAAACCGTATTTAAAGGAAAGTTGTTGGTATTGGCTGGACAAGTCCGAGATGTAGAAGAATTAAGAACAAAACAAGGGCAGAGTTCAATAATTCACGCTCTCATCATAAGGCAAACATCTGTGCACAACAACTACTGTGACTCATTTTTGTACTACCACGTTGTATAGTTTAGTTATTTCCAAATTGTAAACGGCTATTAAAACAGCCCTATCGAAATACAGTCCACTCTTTTATTTAAGTTCCCAGTAGGACCCTTTTCATGTGATTAATTAATGATATTAAAATGTATTATGTAGAATCGCTTTGCCATTGACAGATACATCTGATGACAGAGCTAACATTATTACTACTTTTGACCACCATGAGCGCTGCGATAGATTATGTCCCCCCCACCTAGTACTTCGCACCCAGCGAATACCGATAGTGATTAGAAGCGCAAAAAGATTATGAAAACCCTTCGCATGAAAATATGTAAATACAAGAAAATGCATTTGTTTTAGAGGGTATTTGATTTTGTTATGGTAATAACACCCAGGGAATTGCTCCGGAATTTCGTACAAACCAATAGTTTTTATACGTCATGTAGAAATAATTAGAGGTACTTACTGCACTCATGCACATCTTAATCATCTAATCCTCATGTAAGGCACAGGTTTATGAACTTGATGGCTTCATATTTCCAATTTGTATGTCAGTTCCACTGACTCCTGGAAATATCACTACAAATTCACATTTTTTCATCACTATGCACTTCACTTTAACCTGAAATAAAACATAACTATTGTCAGTCACACTTTGTAAATACAGAAAGAAACTAATTAACAGAATTCGGGAAAATTTTTCAACCTAATTCACAGTTCACCAGTTCTTGCCCAGCTTACACCTTATACACTTACAATTATAAATAACAGGTCTTACCGAGTCTGACGCAGAATGTGCACTTCGCAAAATGAGCATTTCGCGAAATGTGCACTTTTCCATACTAATATTATACAAACAAACTATTCAGCCTTTACATTTGTATAGAAAAGTGCGCATTTAGTGAAGTGCTAATTTTGCGAAATGCGCATTCTGCGTCAGACCCGTCTTACCTAATGCAATAGTCAATAAGAAGTGTCCTTGAGTTACATAGACCTTGAGATTTATGATGATGACTAGAAGCTAAATATAACGTTTTGTAACTATCACATAAAGGTGAAATCCATTAGCTCGGATGCAATCACGCTGCACAATGCAATAAAATAATATCTATGTAATTGGACTGGCTAGGAAGAGCGTAATTAATTTGTCAGTCTGAAGTTAAATAGCCTATCACTAACAGCCAATAAATAGAGAATATTCTTTAATTAAGACATATTCAATTAGTTCTCAGAAATTATATCTAATTGAAGATTTTTTTTAAATTCAAACGTACAAAAATCAAAACTTTTACCTTCAAATACTAGACATCAACGCGTGCGCATGTTATGAAATATTAATTTTAATATTAAATTCAAAATTGGCTATTTTAGAACTAGAGATAGTTGAATGCTTAAGTAATCACTTTCTGTCAAATGCTAATTTCACTTAAATGAAAAGAGATCAAACAGTGTTTTGATCCGAAACATTTTTAATAATAAGACGGTTCGATTAGTATCTTTAAAATATTTCATCACCGATGGATGTAAATATAAAATTATTTAAAATAGGTGCACTTTAAATATAGGAAACTGACGCACACAGATTAAATTACCATAATCAAATTTTTCATCATGACCTGCATCTATCGAAATACAACAATTTAATGATATAGGAAGGAGAAATAATATAGTCCTCATTAATCTTGCAAACTTAAAACGTGAACGAATAAACTAATGACAGGAAGACGGACATGGAAGTCTATAAACAATAGGTATATGAATAAGGTTGCAAATTAGAATTAATTGTTTTGACTACTATAAGTTACTTTGCATATTATTATCAATAATCTATACATCACCATGTATTTATTTGCTACTAGCTTTTTCCCGCGGCTTCACCCGCGTAAAATTTAGTTTGTCAAATGTCACAGATCGTCATAAATTATAGCCTACATGTTATTCTGGGTTATAAACAATAATACTGTAAAGTTTCATCAAAATCCTTTCAGTAGTTTTTGTGTGAAAGAGTAACAAACATCCAGACATCCTGACATCCAAACTTTCGCATTTATAATAATAATATGATGCATTTAATAATAACAAATGCACTGAGATTTTCGCTGAAGCGTAATCAATGCGCGGGGAGTGTAGACTCATTTCTTCTATCTTCTTTTTAGGGTTCCGTAGTCCTGACAAGGAACCCATAATTAATTATCCATTTTGGAACTTCTGTCTACCTATTTAAGTTAGAAATTCCTAGCATCTTCCTAGCAACTTTTTCTGTTATTAATTAAACGTTTTCTATTCCAGTATTTATAATACCGCAACGATGGGTCATGGCGATCATGGGTTTCTTGGCCGTGGCGAACGCGTACACTATGCGTGTGTGCTTGAACATAGCCATCACGCAAATGGTGCGGCGGCGGGCACACACCGTCGGTGTGGACGATGGAGCCTGCCCTGGGGACATTGACGAGGTTGCAGCTGCTAATGCTACGGTAAGTTACCTAATATTTTGACACTAGTTACGTGTAAGACGCGTACACCATGCGAGTGTGCTTGAACATAGCTATCACGCAAATGGTGCGGCGGCGGGCACACGCGGTCGGTGTGGACGATGGCGCCTGCCCTAGGGACATTGATGAGGTTGCAGCTGCTAATGCTACGGTAAGTTACCAATATTTTGACAGTAGTTACGTGTAAGACGCGTACACCATGCGAGTGTGCTTGAACATCGCTATCACGCAAATGGTGCGGCGGCGGGCACACGCGGTCCATGTGGACGATGGAGCCTAACCTGGGGACATTGATGAGGTTGCGGGTGCTAATGCTACGGTAAGTTACCTATATTTTGACACTAGTTACGTGTAAGACGCGTACACCATGCGAGTGTGCTTGAACATCGCTATCACGCAAATGGTGCGGCGGCGGGCACACGCGGTCGGTGTGGACGATAGAGCCTGCCCTGGGGACTGATGCTACGGTAAGCTACATGTTGACACACAAGACGTGTGACGTTGCGAGTGTGCTTGAAAATCAGTATCACGCTAATGGTGCAGCAGCGGGCACACGCAAGATGTGTACACAATGCGAGTACATGCTAGATATCACGAAACTACTTTGACGACGTTACAGATTGTCACTCTTTTGCGCTACTTAACAGGGTGTTAGGTAAATGGGTATATGAGCCGACACTAGCCCATGTTAACATGGGCATATAAATGGTATGGTGAAGTCAGAAAATTGATATCTTCATTTTAATTATTTAATTTTTCATAACTACAAATCGGATTTTATAAAATTTATTTTGTATGAAAATAAAAAGAAATAAAATGATGATATCAAATTTCTGACTTCACCATAACATTTATATGCCCATGTTAACATGGGCTAGTGTCGGCTCATATACCCATTTACCTAGCACCCTGTATACTGAGTCATCTTCTGCGGAAACGTCTTTTTTATTGGTCCATAAATGGCAAGTTTTATTAATTAAAATCTTTACATATAATTATAATGCAGCTAATTTTATAAATTCCTAACACTTCCTACTTCAAAACGAAACGAATGTCCACTGTACCTATTGTAATTTTTTGCGTTCATTCTTATTGTATCGTGGCACACGCCTGACTAACAAATCTCTACTAAAACCAAAGAAAATTATTTACCTACTTACTTTCTCTCTACAGGAGATAAGCGGCTTCGACTGGAGTGAAGAGACTCAAGGCATCATCCTCAGCTCATTCTACTACGGGTACATTGTCACGCACTTACCCGGGGGTATGCTGGCGGAGAGGTTCGGAGGGAAATATTCACTTGGTTTCGGAGTGCTGAGCACTGCTGTGTTTACGTTGCTCACTCCGTGGACCGTCGGCATGGGTGGGGCCACTGGACTGATCATACTGAGGGTGCTGGAAGGACTTGGAGAGGTAAATATACTCAATTGAATAACACCTAAAACTAACAAGCACTAGAACTTGAAATAAGTTGGCTCAAAAATAACAAATAACTGTCTCCAGACAAGCAAACTGATATTACATTACACCTCCTTGTTTAAGCAGAACAATGATAATAATGGCATACAGTCCGTACTGTGACAGCTTCGTTTACATAGGCATCATTCCTCGCTTTGCGACATGAAAGTTTTATTATTTTTTGGCTTTTAAACAAGTATCAAGAATATGTTATGTAGTTTGAGAAGACTTTATTTACATAAGTATTCTTAACATAATGTGGTCAAAGTTGCGGTTTCTGGTTAGCTTATAAATAAGTCAAGATTGTATGTAACAATTACTTTTGTCTATGTGAGATAGAATCAATAAAATGGTTTTAATCACGTCAACTACAAATAAACGTGAATTCAAAGAATGTGAATTCAATTTGGCCAATGAACCTAAACGTTTATCAAAATCCGATCACATCGTTTGCAGAAGGACACATTTTTACCATAATAGGGAGGACAATAGCCGACCATAAGAATGGACATTGTATGATCATGACCAAAAACTCAGATCGATCTCGATTTAATCTAGATTGTTATATGAATACTAATCGATTTCAAGTGGAGCCTTGAAATCGATTGCAGTTGTCTACATGATAAAACGATGTGGTAGCGAGTCAAGTAATTTGATTACTAGTTTAATTAGTTTAAACAAATATTATACAGGGCGTCTCAAAACTCTACGTCAAGCGGACACCGGTAAAACACTCCATATTCTAAAATCTCAAGAGGTGTCTTGAGCTAGGCTGTCGCCCGGTGCCCACTTGACCTTAAATTTTGGAACATTCTGTATAAGTAAACACTACCCACCTTTCTGCAGTCCAGTAACCTTTACTTGTGACTTACTTACCTCTTGATACAGTAGTAAAAGCTCTTTCTTTTTCAGGGTACAACATTCCCAGCTCTCAACACTCTTCTAGCAAGATGGGCGCCAGTCTCCGAGAGAGGGCGCATGGGTTCTTTGGTCTTCGGGGGTGCACAAATAGGGAACATTGCTGGAACATACCTCTCTGGTCTGGTCATGAAGGAGACTGGGGAATGGCAGTCGGTGTTCTACCTCTTTGGTGCTCTTGGAATCTTGTGGTTCATTTTATGGGTAAGGATTTTTTTCCGAGAATATAAGAATTTTAATTCTACCTTCACAACACAAGTTTTTTTTTCTGAGACTCCGACTATGGCTCCATAGTGAAAGTTTGAGAAGTGGGTTCGCTCCCTTTAAGAGAATGTGCGCTAAATATGTTACACCCTGTATAATAAGGCGTAAATCAAAACCACATCTCAAGAAGACCAGATTTTTTTAAGGAAATAAACATACTGACAGTAGCTTCACAGTTCATTTATGAAAACCTTTTATATGTCCGCAAAAATATAGAGCAATTCACGAAAAAGAGCGATTTGCATAACTTTAATACAAGAAACAAAAATAAACTTGCCGTTCCAAATTTCAGATTGCATAAGATTGGTAATTCATTTATGGGAAAATGTATTAAATTCTTTAATAAATTACCACAAACTGTTGTAGAACTACCCATTCATAAATTCAAAGCACATATTAAAAGTACCTTAATGAAAAAGGGCTACTACACTCGCGAGCAAAAGTATGGAATCACTTACATGAAGTTGTTTCCACGCGATCTTGTGTACTAACGAATTTGTTAGTAACTAAAAAAGTAGCACCATTTTAAAGATTAAACTTTTAACTTTAAATTGATACCAAATTCATTTAAATCACACCAGAATTTAAAAAGATATCCCGGCTGATGTAAAGAAGTAAGGAAAAAGACATGTATCAACTGTTTGATACGTCGCGAGTTGCGGCCTATTTACCCCCCATAAAAGCAAGTGTTTTCGGATTTTTGCTTTCACACGTTGATCCATACACATCTCCGCTTATTTTGACACTTTACCTGGGATTCTACACCTTCAGAAGCAGCACAAATCGTTGCACTATTGCAAGAAGGGCTCAGCCAGAGGGCTGTCGCACGTCAGCTCCACATAAGCCAGTCCTGGGTTTCGAAAGTTTTAAGACGCTTTCGGGAGACTGGTGGCTTTATCCCGAGACCAAGTTCTGAACATTGCCGGTGCACATCGCAGAGGGAAAACCGTTTTTTCATGTCAACTTCTCTACGAAATCGTCATTTGACTGGTATCGACATCCAGCAAGAGCTCAGAAATGTTCGTAGGATAGCTGTTAGCGAGTGGACAGTTCGTCTAAGATATGAGCAATAAAATTTNTACTGCCTAGCTCGCATAAATATTTATAACTTTGTACATTTTAAAGCATGTAAACCTTTGAAAAAGAGGCTGACAATAGTGACTGAGTTTCTTGCGCTGCTTCTTCTCAGCACTGGCCCATTTATTGTCCTGAAGCAGTGGTAGGGTTAATACTGGGACGTGTAAAAGTGCTTTTTTAAGCCTATTTACAGAAATAAATGAGTTTTAATGAGTTTTAACCAAGAAGATAAAATCAAAATTACAGTAAATCTTAATCCCAACTATAATATTATAAATGCGAAAGTAACTCTGTCTGTCTGTCTGTCTGTTACGCTTTCCCGCTTAAACCTCGCAACCGATTTTGATGAAATTTGGCATAGAGATAGTTTGAGTCCCGGGAAAGAACATAGGATAGTTTTTATCCCGGTTTTTGAAACAGGGACGCGCGCGATAAAGTTTTTCTGTGACAGACAAAATTCCACGCGGGCGAAGCCGCGGGCGGAAAGCTAGTACAAAGATATAGCAACAAATATTAAGCCAATTTTTAATCATCCTTTATTTTACAGGCGATCCTCTGTTACAATGACCCTGAATCTCATCCTTTCATTTCGGACAAAGAAAAGAAATATCTAGAAGAGGCTCTCGGAAGACATCACAACAGCCAGCCATCTTCTATACCATGGAAGGCCATCTTCATGTCTGTTCCTCTTTGGGCTCTTGTGTGTGCTCAGGTGAGAATATCTTTATGAATAAACGAGAGTTTAATCCGATATTTAGTGTAATATTTATTAATGATTAAGGCAATTATACATGTAAGGGCACAATTTTTTATCTAAGTGCTCTTTATTTATCAGATCAGGGCTGAACAAGATTTTCTTTAGATGACCTTTATATGATAATTTTCTAACTTGTTTCTGTCAATAATTTAATAAATTTTATATTTAAAATCATAATATTATAGCTTAGACCTCATTTTAATTGTATATAATTACATCGGGCTTTATTCCATGTACTTTTGTGTTATTGAGTCTCCATTAGATTATCAGCACAGCCTGATCACCGATAAACTGATGCATTTTTATGCGGTTTGGTCTTGGTCTTTGGTCTGGCTACACCGGAGTTGCAGCGGTTAAACAATACTACGTTATTAACTGCAGCAGTCTCATTTACCCATATATTTTTTTCAGATCGGCCACGACTACGGCTACTTCACGATGGTGACCGACTTGCCCAAGTACATGACTGGCGTTCTGAAGTTTGACATCCATCGCACTGGAACCTTAGCTGCCTTGCCATATGCTGTCATGTGGATCAGCTCCATCATATTCGGCTGGCTCTGCGATAAGATAGTGAAGAGGAACTGGCTCACTGTCACCAATGCCAGGAAGACTTTTACTACTATCGGTAAGGAAGATTTAGAAGTCTAGAAGAAAATAAGTGAATAACGTGCCGATCGGTATTTTTGACTGCTGCTGCCAGATAAATGACAAAGTACCGATGGTAAACTTCTTATTGTTGAAAGAAACATTCTGAAAACAGTGAAGTAGAGCATAGATATCAATGCTATATGATATGATATCATATCTTTTTGGAGGTGTTTTTGGATCTTTCAATGACACATCCATTGGTTTGGTTCTCTAGTTTTAGTTTTTCTTCTATGTCACTTAGTTCTGGATGGGTCTATCCCACCTGAAAGTTCAACAGAACAAATTCAAGCAAGTATGGTGTCTCAAAGTGCCAATGAAAAATAAATTCTGTTATTAAATGATGCTTACGAGTATTATTTTTTTAAGCCCAATATTTATGTATCTTTCAATTCCAGCGTCAGTCGGCCCTGGCATCTGCATGATCCTGGCATCATACTCCGGCTGCAACACCGAAGCTGTGGTGATCCTGTTCACCGCATCCATGGGTCTCATGGGCGCCTTCTACCCTGGCATGAAGGTCAACGCACTGGACCTGAGTGGCAACTACGCTGGCACCATCATGGCGATAGTCAATGGCATCGGAGCGATTACTGGCATCATTGCGCCGTACTTGGTTGGACTTTTGACGCCAGATGTAAGTTTGTAAACCAAAATCAATTAATTAATTTAGGCGATCGATTTAATGTAAGCAATGTGCGCTAGTTCTAAGCAGTTATAAGCGCGTGCGTTACAAGTTACAAAGACATAATTAAAAAGATGCAATAATAAACTCTTATTAGATGTTCTGATGCAGACATTTACTTCTTGTTCTTGATATTCATCTTTCATTTCAAGCAGTACCTTGCAATTTACATCTACTTAGCATTACAAGCCGTATTGAACAAGCAATTGAAGCAGCAGCCAAAAAAGCCATTGAAGAAATCTTATTTCTATAAACAAAAATTATGTAGAGATCACTTCTGTATAAATAAACCTAATATAACTAACCTTTCTATTGTTTTTTACAGAGCACACTAGTCCAATGGAGATTAGTCTTCTGGATTGCGCTCGCAGTTTTCATCGTGACAAACTTGGTATTCGTCGCGTGGGCGTCCGGTGACGAACAGTGGTGGAACAACACAACGGAGGACCCAAAGAAACAGCAAGAAGTAGAGGCTGCCAACAACAAGTCCGTCAACGCTGAAGTCAAGTTGTAGACAAAGACAAAAGACGAAACAGGGTTACAATATGAAAAAATACACGCGTGACGAGGACAGAGAGATTGTTAAAACAGAAATGCAAGGCTCTCGCAGATGGTCGCGTTATGTAATGTAGTACAAAAACTAAGTATTTGATGCATTGAACAATTAGATGTTAATATTGGCGATTCCATGAATCCACAGCCAGTGCTTTGTGATAGTAATGTTATGGAGAATTCTCAAAAGTGTGAACTTACATGTATATTTATTTGAGTGTAATTTATACTTTGAGGTTTTGTAACCTTAAGGCAATTTGTCGATTGCGATTTGACAATATTTTTATATTTATTGTTTTGCCGACTAGACTGTACAATTAGATTTGATGTAGTAAAACTAAGATCTTAATAGGAAAGTATTATTTTTTATTACTGTATATCTGTAAATACTTCACTGATGTTCCCTTCAAAGATAGACAAGAAATGAGATTACTATTCGTTCGTTATTAGAGTTAAATTAACTGTAAAATTTATGTTCAGTAGCATTTATAAACTTTGTTCACGTAATTTTGACTTAAAAATAAAACATGGAGGGCTGTGAACAATTTTATTTGTAAGTATTTTGCGAATACACTTCATTCCAATATGCACTAGTGCCATTTGAATGATTTTAAGTAATATTTTGATACTGGTAACATTGAATTTGCTATGTAGATTGAGTGTGGAACATTAATTTTCCTAATCTTTAAATATAATACTGATAGTGTATAGACATTTAGTACGATTAAATTGATGATTACACGGCTATGATGACGATTATAGTTATGTTTTCTTATAAATAAGTTACATATTTTTTATTATAAAATGTAATATGTTAAATAAAAACTTTTGTAACGAAAAAAAACTTTTATTTTAAAAACGTGAAACAAAAAATAATAAATAATCAACAAAACGATAAAAAAATATAAAATGTATATAATTATATTACATACAAATATGTGCTTACATGTAATAAATATCATAAAGATTAATATCTTATAAATATAGTTACGAAGGAGGAGGTCTTATCCAAATTGGGTCTTCTAAGTCACAATAAGGTGGCCATAGATAAGGCAATCCTTACCATAGACAAGTCCTTGGAGCACCGATTCAATTCAGTCATTTCAATTTTAATATAGCAGACAACTTTCATGGAATGTATAAAACGCACATTTTTAAACCCAGAAAAATGTTTATTTCCATTCATATAATATGCGAAATATTCGCTCATGAATATTTTGATCATTGATTTAGATTTGTCGCTATTTTGTTACAGATAACAAAAAAGTAAATCATTTCTGCTGCAAAGTGAAGGCACATGTGGCAGCATTTGTTTTAAAAATGTCACCGTTACTCAAAAGTCGTCTAACTACATTCACTATTCCAACATTCTATCTACGCTCACCTGAACACAGCGCTCCTTAACTTTGCTTAGAGACCGAATTTAGAAGCCGCCCCCTTCGAAACTTCAGAACATTTCCATGACCACGCTCGGCGCCGTCGGGTCACATAGATCAGTCCTTTGGCTGAGAATCTGTTTCGCTTCGTTAAGCTGTATATTGTGTATGCCTTGGTTGTTCAAACTCTCGGCTCCGATTTGAGTATGTTTGGACAAGTTGTTTTTGAGGCGACGCGCATCGTCATAATCCATGTTGAGGAGTTTGCACGCGTCGAGGAGTCTGGAAAGGTTAAATCGAGAATAAATAACAAAAATATTAACTGTTTAACAGTTCATTCTTATGTAGTCCACGCCCAATGTTGTACTATCATTACTTGTTTGTGGAGAGTAAATAATGTTTTTCAATTCATGCATTTTTGTAGCATGCATACCTACCTACTACAACTTGATAGATTGCCGTACTTATTCGTAAGAACAGAATGGAAATGTTTTTAATAACTGCTGGGTTTTTGTCTTAATTTGCAAAGAATAGATTTGTGAAATAATAGTATCTGTATATTTCTAGTAAGAACTCACTTTGGCAAGTGGTTGCAGTGCGACGCGCTTTTGTTAGGCGGCGCAAACGCAGGCACGAGATTCCTCTTCACGTCGTGAGTAAACTGCAGCGTGCCTCCAGTATTGAACCACCTTTCTAGTACCACCTCCTGTAACAAATTATGATGGTAGCTTTAGGAGCCGAACAATGCTCGCTTCGATTCGCCATCACACTAGTCTCTCCACGTTTAAGGTTCAATGACCTCACTGACTTCGAGTCTCACCTCAAAGATGTACTGATCGACGTCGTTAGCCAGGCGACCCGAGGCTGCCGTAGCCAGTAACTAAGCATTTAGCTAAGCCATATCAGGGTCATTTGATTTAAGCAGAGGTAAAGAGCAGATGAAATGAAGTAGCTTCATCTTGCTCTTAGTTTTGTGCACTCACGAGCTTGGGTTCACCGTTATTACTTGTGTATTCGGTACGGCTAGCACGAAAAACTTTGAAGTTCGAATCGTTTGCGTATTCGACAAAATTCGATACTCAATCTTCGAATTAAACGATAATGTGACAATTTTGATGCTCAAAATAAGTTTCGTGCCACCATTTCTCATACCAAGTTCACTTTACGACACGTTCACAAGGGCGCTGTTGTAGTTTTCGTACTAAATGTTTAGATGGCGATTCGAATACGCGAACGATTCAAACTCGAAAGTTTTTCGTGCTAGCCGTATGGAAGCCGAACAATGTTCGCTTTGATTCGCTATTGTTTCTTCACAATCCACCATTCAATGGGGTCAATGACCTGTAAGAAGCCTCACCTCGAAAATGTACTGGTCGACGTCATTAGCCAGCCGCGAGCGTAATCGGGCGGCTAACGCGGGTGCTAAGCGTGCCGAGGCTGCCGCCAACCGTGCGCATAGCGCTGCCAGCGGTCGGCATAGCGGCGCAGATACGCTTAAAGCCATCTCTTCTACTACTAGACACGCGTGTCTAGTAGTAGAAGAGATGGCGATGGATGATGAAGATGGATGTACGACAAAATTCGATACTCAAACTTCGAATTAAACGATAATGTGACAATTTTGATGCTCAAAATAAGTTTCGTGCCATTTCTCATACCAAGTTCACTTTACGACACGTTCACAAGGGCGCTGTTGTAGTTTTCGTACTAAATGTTTAGATGGCGATTCGAATACGCGAACGATTCAAACTCGAAAGTTTTTCGTGCTAGCCGTATGGAAGCCGAACAATGTTCGCTTTGGTTCGCTATTGTTTCTTCACAATCCACCATTCAATGGGGTCAATGACCTATAAGAAGCCTCACCTCGAATATGTACTGATCGACGTCATTAGCCAGCCGCGCGCGTAATCGGGCGGCTAACGCGGGTGCTAAGCGTGCCGAGGCTGCCGCCAACCGTGCGCATAGCGCTGCCAGCGGTCGGCATAGCGGCGCAGATACGCTTAAAGCCATCTCTTCTACTACTAGACACGCGTGCCAGCTGGGAATAAAGATACATAAATTTAATTCCGAGCATAGCCCTCTCCATAGCAGTTTCTTTACGAGATCGAATCAGAAATGAGGAGATCCGTAAACGAACTAAAGTCGCTGACATAGCCCGACGGATCAGCAAGCTGAAGTGGCAGTGGGCTGGGCACATAGTACGCAGAACTGACGGCCGATGGGGCAGCAAGGTTCTGGAATGGAGGCCACGTACCGGAAAACGCAGCGTAGGACGTCCACCCACAAGGTGGACCGACGACCTGATAAAGGTAGCGGGAAGGCGCTGGATGCAGGCCGCTACCAACCGTGCGATGTGGAAGTCATTGGGGGAGGCCTATGTTCAGCAGTGGACGTCCTGTGGCTGAAATGATGATGATGATGATGAAATTTAATTCATTCGGGACACCAACAGTAACAACACAAGCACAATATTGATGTGGGTAGAAGATACCAATTAATACAAGTGACAATTCGAGTAATGAGAACTTTTACTAATGTAAATCACAGAAAGGTTGAAGAACGGTGCCCAACCCAACTGTCTAGAATAAACACAAAAGAGCGTCATTGTCTACAGCAACGTAGCGTACTAAAGTACGGCCAACTAGCAGTGATACAAAAGGTCGATACGACTGTCGAGTTGACAATATATTCTCTCTTCCCATATTGTGTATTTGTCGTAATGTCTCGTTCTCCCGCCAAAATATGTCAAAGTCAGACGGGTTCATCCATGACATTGGGTTTGTTTACATTTGGTATCGCTTCTCGATGGCCGTACTTTACACGTCACTATGCTAATTATTTTATTCGACTTATAACAACAAGCGTTTAATGACGAATACGCGTCTAGTACGCTACGCTGCCGTGGATACTGACGCTTATACGAGAAGGCATGCCCACTTAAAAGTTTGACTGTCAATCAATTAATTAAAAAATCATTTTCAACATCACCGCCAAAATCACGATTCAAATCCCTACTTTCGACTATGAAATAAACACTCACGCCAACTTCTTGTAATCCCTCAACCCGGCTTTGAACTCCAGCAGTATATGTTCAGACAAGTCCGCCAGACCGCTGTCTCGAAGCCGAGCTAGCAAGCTCGGGGCTTCGCCGAAAACGCCGGCATCCTCAGCGTCCGGATTCTCTGGCATTGTCGTGGTTATCACCATGCTTGCTATGGGAGATGACGAACGGCCGGTGAAATCGGGGATCTAGAAAAATATATTAGAGGTAAATAAATAATTGCTCATAAGATAGGCCCCCTTAATTCATATTTATTGTCCGTGGTGCATAATCTTTTCTTAAAGGTTTTAAACCTTTGCCACCTGTTATCCGCTTTACAATGGAAGGAAGTCGAACCTTAATTTCGGACTCCTCCTATGTTCTTCTGATTAATTTCGTTACGGGTCCAATGACAGTTTAACTTTGTCCCGGGACAAACTTGACCTTCATTGGTTGGGTTTTTATGGCGGTGAAGCTGTAGATCCTGGCTACACAGGAGTTGCAGTGGTGGGAACGAGAGGTGGGAATAGTCCCGTAGTAGAGGTAAATAAATTAGTATCTTGGACATTTTACGCTATATCTAGTCCCAAACTAAGCAAAGCTGCTACTACTAGACAGTGAGTTGTGTAACATAATCCAGACCAATACAAACGTAATATGATTATGCACACAAATGTTTGTATTAAGCGGGAATCGAACCCACGACCTCTAGTCAGTAAATAAATCTCGCAAATATGACAATGCTTATGTACGAGTATGTTATTCATTAGGGTTTGACGCAGAATGTGCATTTCGCAGGTGCATTTGACGTCGAAAGTTGGTACAACACAAACCATAAAGAATAGCGTTTTAACATTTCATATAAAGTATCTCAATAGTTGGTGGTAATCCGATCCCTTATTTAATTTTACTGATATAACATCAAATAACCTTTTTTTACTTACTTGTATTTCAACTGGCGGCAAGTCACTCATCAGTGAGTATGATTTCTCTACAAATTTCATTGCTAGCTTCTTGGCATGAAGTTCGACTTCCTTCAACGTAGGCCTCTTTTTAGCTAGATCGTCAAGGTCAACTGGAAGAAAAATAAACTTTATGTAAGTAATTTTAAGGTTCTCATTGCCTAAATGACATTTGTATGTCACAGTGTGTGCCGGTGACATCAATCTCATATAAATACGGAGTCCTCTCTTGGTCATTTGAAAAGAGATACCATTTTAACTATAAAATTTAATAAAAATACATTCAAAGCAAAAAATAAAATAAAAAGGACAAATCCTACCTTTGTCTTCTGGTACATTAGAGGGTCGCCTTCCTGCAGTGGAGTCTAAATTACCTGATGATGATGAATTTAAAAATTAAATCATAAATAATAAATAAATAAAAACGTAATAAAAACTTAAAAACGTTGCCTTATTTCTTATTTCACCTATTATACAAGGTTATTTTTTGTATATACGAAAGCCGAAACACGTGTCACGTATTTTAATCTTTAGAATCAGTATAAAAAAAAAATTAAAATGATATCTTAAAAACTCACGAAGTTCCAAGCTTTATTTGTTGTCCCATTATCCGCACGCGAGTGTAGACATCGTACAGCGCGTGGCACTTTCGTTGTTGACAACGCAATGTTTGTTAAGCTTTGACAACATTTTCCATACGCGCAGAACATTTTAGTAAGGTGTCCGTAAATTATGGATTTGTAAATATTATTTAGTCAATATGTAACATGATATAAAAAATATTGCGATGGATTCTATTACTGATTCTGAATAAACAGTTTTAAGGTTTCGTATATACTAAAAATAACCTTGTAGATCGTTTCCTCCACGAAGACGCGCCCCATCATTCTTCCACTAATGTTTGAGTGTTATCGGTACACGCTATCGCACACTACAATTATGACGCTCGGATTGCTCGGATCAAACTCCCTGCACCTACAAAAATTGGTGGGGCACGTCTTTGTGGATGAAACGATCAATAGGCCTGGTTTCCACCTAAGTGGAGAGTAGAGATGTGACCATTTAGATTTCGTTATTTCCACATCCAGCTTAGCTTAATTTCAAAAGTCTGATTGGTCATTCAAACGCATCTCTTCTCCTCTTCGCTTTAGTTGATCACCGTAAAGACCTTGTTCTACTGAAACTACTGATATGGCTCGAGATTTTTTTTGTTTGGTGCACAAAACAGGGATACAACCATAACATACAAAGCGTTTAAAGCAGGTTATACAGTATACCTTGTTGCAGCTCCAATAACAAGTGCACACAACATACAAATCGAGTAAACAATATAAATAAATTATAAATAGAGAAAGAATTATTTTATGTTAATGAATAATGAAAATAAGTTAATAATTATAATTAAATTTAAATTAATAATTCTAACAATATCCCTAAGAAATCACGATTAAAGAGGAATTATTTGTATAATTTGTATTGTACAATTTACTAATACTCCCGTTAGCCCCTCGTACTAAGCTAAATATGCTTGTGTAACAAGTGGGCTCACCACAATAGTCTAGCGGCGGGATTCGAACCCGCGTTCTTCGGATCACGAGTCGGTCAGTCCGACCTCCTTCGTTCAGCTATCGTGACTTCTATTTACTGCAATGTAATTCAAACCTGTAATGTTGGACGCCTCGCTCTCCTCTTCAGCGCTCGAGTTCTGTGCTTGTTCTTGAGCCTCGTTATCCAGGTGTTGCAGCTGTGTGAAGTGGTTGAACTGCCGCCGGTAGTAATGCAGTTGGAGGTAATGCTGCAAAATGTAAAATATTGTAAGTAACACCTGCATATTTTGTTCTTTTATGGCTCATTGAGTAAGCTCATGGGTATTCTCAGCGTCTACTAGATTTTTTTGGCAGGATTCCCAGTGTTTGAACACTTAAGGGCGAAACATTATGGAAGGAGATGAAATGGAAAGTTCAATTTTGACCAAGACTTTGCACTTACGAAAAGTAAAGGTACTCTTGGGGTCGTAAGACCGAGCCGACATATTATGGGCGTCTAAGATATTTGAATCGGACCAATGGCAAAAAACATAATACGATCAAGAAAACTTGCGCGACTTAAATTGAAGCCGAGAAAAAGAAATTGCATTAAATTACCAAGGAATGCGCCCACTGAATCAGTGTAGTTCTGGTGTGATGCGTGGCATTGATGACAGCTGTCAACGAATGCGGCGACGAATCAGCTGTCAAGAAAGTCTCAGGGCGCAGTGAAGAGACCGCAGCGTTTAACAGCTGCGTCAGACGCACGCGCCACTCTTCCACCAGTTCCAATTGAAGTTCGAGGAATTGTAATCTGGAAAATAATGGACAACCCTATTAATTTTTTGAGATTCATGGGAATAGATACTTCACGCCCTATTAATTTGCAATTTTGATTCGTTTGTGAACAGTTTTCCATTTCAAACAAAAGACATACACTATCCAATGGTTCGTCCAAGATTGACTAATAATTTGAGTAGCCGGTCGACAGTCGTATTTAAAAACTGTTACCTACATAACCCTTAAATTGGCACTCATTGAACCCTTGCTTCAAAAATGGTCAAATTTGGGATTTAGGTATTGTTTTGATAGATTAAGAAAAAAATATTTACTTTTTGAAAAAATTTCAATTAGTATAGAAGTTATGACATGTCATTTGAAACGGACATTGCCAATTATTTAGCATTACAACCATGTCACTTAGGGCGGACATTGCCAGTTTAGAAAAACAAACCTAAAACAACTTTTCTTAATAACAATACAGGAATCCCTGATAATCAGCGCCTTCTGCAATCCATCCGGATTATTTACTGTTGATTTTACATACATTTATCAAAAATACCCAGACATATAAAAAGAGAAACTGACTGCCTGATATATCAACATAAATCCCAAACCGGTGGGTATAAAGACACGGTGGGTTTAAAGACACAAAGTTTGTCATGTAGGTTCCTTATTAGGGTCTAAGGGTGTTATCAGAAAGGATTTTTCCAAAATTACCCCTAAGGGGGTGAAACGGGGGTCCAAAGTTTGTAGGGCTAAAAAAAATTAGTTACACTATTTAAGTCGAAACTTCACAGGAGTACTCCTATCCATAAACGAATAAACACGTGTTTCAGATTATTTCAGAATTCAACCCCTAAAAGGGGGAAATGGGGCAAAAACGTCTAAAAATCAACATGAGTATTTTTTACTGATACATGGCATTGTCCGTTTTAAGTGACATATCATTTGTAACCTTGAAATTAATGAAAAAAAAAACAATATTTTTTTACAGTTTTGGCAATAATCGTCAGTTTTATTCGTAAATATTCTAAAAACAATCAATAAAGCACAAGAATAAGTGTAATACCCACAGTATTGCCACATTTATCAACAGCGAAAACTTGACCTTACTGTTGCAGTTTTTCAACTGTCTTGATTTTTAAAATTCGCGGTTTTTTATTGAACTACAGCCCCGTGGTACAGTACACATAAAATATCATGCTTTTAATGAAATATCCCTTGAAAGTCGATAAATTGCTTTAATTTAGATTTTGTAGGCAATTATTTGACATGTCCTTTAAAACGGACAAAAACACCATTTAAGGGATAAGATGTATGTATGACTTATGGTCCTATGTCGCCTAGATGGGGCAGAGGGCGTCCACAACAATTCTCCATCGCGTTCGGTCTTGAGCTTTACGTTTGATCTCACTCTAAGCTCACATAACATGTATGTTCACCTATTATCTAGTTGCTATACAAGTTCTAAAGAGTTACGAGTAGGTGATGTGATTTTGTTTGTTCCTATTTATTTACATACTACTATGTTTATTTACTTACCGGTGTCCCGGCTGAGGCAATACAACGTATCGGTCCTCGATAGTCTTCAGCAGCGCTATGAACCAGTCGGCGCCCCGCGGGACCCAAACCATGGCCCCGACGGCGGACCCGATGCCCGCCGCCACCGCCTCGCTCCATTGCTCGCTGCTTAGTGTCTCGTCCATTTTTGCTAGCGCGTCTATGGGTGTAGATGTAGATGAAATTTGGAATTAATTTGGCATGATATCATCATTTTATTTATTTATTTATTTATTTTAAGGACAGCCAACAAAACATACACCTTATCTAATATAACCTTAATACATCAAACATTCTGTGGTGTTGCCTTACTTAAAGGCTGCCACGACATGCAAATAAGTGTACTAAATGGCTAAAATATTTCAGCTACATATAGGACGTCCACTGCTGAACATAGGCCTCCCCCAATGATTTCCACAATGGCCGGTTGGTGGCGGCCTGCATCCAACGCCTTACCGCAGCCTTTATGAGGTCGTCGGTTCACCTTGTGGGTGGACGTCCTACGCTGCGCTTTCCGGTACGTGGTCTCCATTCCAGATCCATGCTACCCCGTCGGCCGTCAGGTCTGCGTACTATATGCTTTGCCCATTGCCACTTCAGCTTGCTTATCCGTTGGGCTATGTCAGCGACTTTAGTTCGTTTACGGATCTCATTGCTGATTCGATCTCGTAAAGAAACACCTAGCATAGCCCTCTCCATAGCACGCTGTGCAATTTTGAGGTTATTAAGGCCTATATTGAGAGGCTACGTTTCGGAGCCGTTTATCATCACTGGTAACATACACTGATTGAAGACTGTCGTCGACGGCGGCTCCGATGCCCGCGGCCACCGTCTCGCTTCATTGCTCGCTAATTAGCGTAACGTCCATTTTTGCTAGCGCGTCTAAGTATGTAGATGGGCTTGAATTAGGTTGGGTGATACAGTATGTTGCTGTCTATAAATATTTTTACATTGTGTAGAGCTCCATAGTGATTTAAAAGCGTTGGAAAGCCAGTGCAGGCGGACTCAAAATTATAAGAGAATTAGAATTCTACTAACTGAATTAAAAATATTAATGTTTCAAACACTACAAAAGTAAGTATGTTTGAGTCCCATGAATTTATAACGCTATTGGAACTTACTCATTGAACTAGCTAGCTAGCTTTAAGAGCTTTTTGGATGAGAAAAGCTCTTGTAGAATTTAAAAGTGGTTTACCATTTCACAGAGAACATTGCCTTAAAAATATTAAACACAGCTTTACATAAAACCCAACAGTTAATTAACAAATCCTAAAGCCTTTTAAAACAATATAATGTACTCACATTTCTTCTCCACAGCCAGCCATTTCACAAAGATCTCTGCTTTAGTCAGCACTGCCAACACATTATTGGTCTCATTTTCCGTAATAAGCATCAGCTCTCTATGGAATCCGAGGGTTTCGTCTACAGCATGGGCGAAAGCCGCGTCGGCATCGAGTAAATCTCCTTTAGCGTTCTGAGCGTGGTACAAGCCAAGTACGGTGTGGAGGCGCTCAGCGGCTAAAGCTATAAGACCGTCGTTGAATTCGTCCTGTAAACGCAAAGCAATTTACATATTAAGGCGATTACATGGCCGAACGACCTTGAGCATTAGAGCGAGACAACGCGCCTCACGCCGCGCGCCCGCGCTTCTGCCCGATACCAAAGTGCGCTCAGAATACAGATGCGAAGCGCTGCCAATTCTAACATAACTGCCTACGGGAATGTTAACTCGATTTTAATTTACGCAGATCGAAAAAAATTGCGATGAATGATTATATTTCAATTAGACATCATTATACTTTAATTAGTACCATAACTATGAAAAATAAACAGTTATTTCCTACTGTAAAGTTTGCAAAAAGGGACATACCTGAGCAGTTTGAAAGTTAGGCTGACGATATTCGTGTGTCTAAGTGAGCTTCTAAACAGTTTTTAAGTGTGTTTACGAGTACCTACCTAAATGTAAATGTCTGTCTGTGCAGGTATTCAAAATATTGGTCAAATATCGGTCAACATTGAATAAAATATTTTTGATCATCGAATACAACTTAAGACTTTACTTTCTCCGTTATTATTTTTTGGTAAAATCGAGAGAAAAATAAGATTTTAGATTTTTGCGTTCCATTTCAACTAAAATAAATAAACACGGATTGAGAGACATTTTTATATGAGTTACATGTCAAGTACGAATACGAATACTGTGTGTCGAGGTAACGCCACTACAATGTAACATTTTGACAATATGAGGGTAGTTTAAAATATTTAAGCCCAAAAAAATACCTATGTATATCTCGAAGTATATAATAAATCTAGAATAAATAGATAATCAGACAAATAAATCTAGAAAAATAGATAATCAGCATCTTGTATACCTATGTATTTAAATTATCTTAAACATTTTATAATACCTATACATATTTAAAATGACGCAGTAAGTACTTAGATCACTTTCATTCAGCCGCCGAACTACTTTGAGTACCGAGTGTACCATCTGCGCTATAAATTCTTTATAGAAAAACAAAGAAGCGGAGCGTGCCGATGTGCGACACAGCCTCCCCGTGCGAACGCTAGTGAAAGACTGAGCTCCCGCATTCGCGCGGCCCGCGTGTGGAAATTACAGGGTATTTTGAATGTATGACACGTAATACATTATTTTTGAAAAAAAATGAACAACAATTTTTTAGATAATTAAATTTTCTATCATTTGGTGAAAGAATCATTAAAATCGCTTCAGCCGTTTAGGAGGAGTAGGAAATTTCTTTGGTGAAATTAGAAGAAAGTTAAGAATTTTTTCTGTCAAAACTAATAGTTGTAACAAAAAAAACGAACAACAATTTTTTAGTTTAAGATATTATACATCTCACACATATTTTTTTTTCTTGTTTGGATCATCCATTTAGGAGGAGTAGGGATTCAAAGAGAGGTCTATTTTGCAGTTTTGCCTCACCTATCGCCTTAAGGTGGGAACAGAAGTAAACATATTAATGATGTATGTATTCCCAAGCTTATACTGGCTTAGGTAAAAATTATAACACTAATGTCCGTTTTCACCATCAATCCCTAATTTTTAAGTGACCCCTTTAAAAAAATAAAGCCCATAGGGCTCACTTAAAAATTAGGGATTGATGGTGAAAACGGTCATAAATTACTGTGGGAATACAAGTAATTACAGCAGCAGCAGCAGCAGACATGTCGTCGTGATAGTGGTTTCTATGTATTTCTGAAGATATTTAATAGATCTGCATGATCTTGGTTTTCGATTTTTTTAACAGATGGATAATGACAAAAAAACTATTGAAGATAATAAAAATACACATACCACAGTCTTTATCTTCTTCAACTCAAGTTTATCAGCAACAGGCTGGACGTTGTTCCGCACAAAGTTCTGATGATGTTTTATCCAGTTGAGGGTTTGGGTCAGGAACCACTCGGGGCGGTCGATTCGAGCAGTCTGTCGACTCCCAGTGAAGTGGAAAGCAAACCTTTTCTTAAAAGGACGTAATAGGATTCTCACTGGGAGACAAGGGTCTTGCTCTGGAAAAGAAGATAAAGACAAAAATATTGTTAAGTAAAAGAATTATAAAAAATGGTTAGATATATTTTTGTTTTTACCTTGTCCAAATTCTCCAGATACACTAGCTACGGAAACACTCTCAGGTTCTTCGATGAGGAACAAATAGCGTGTAAGATTATTGAATCTAATTAATATCTCTTTCGGTGGGGGTGAGTTTTGAGCACCAGCTGCTAAGGGCCACTTGATCAGCTTTAGAGTGTCTTCATAGCTCCTAAAATTGTTAAAATAATTACCTTCATTCACAAGCTTCGACAGTCAGGGAGGAGGTGAGCAAATACTGTACCAAATATAAGGAAAGGCTGAAACATCACACAAACCAACTCGCTAGAGAATTAGTGGAACAAACCCACAAGACCACCATAAGACTGAAAAGATGGCAAATATTACAGTTGGACCAAAGATGCTAGTGGCTTGGATTGAATATTGGAAGGCTGGACTAGATTGCTACGTGAATTAGTAAAAACCGAGGGAGAGAATTTACTGGAATACCCCCAAACAAATGAAAGACAAAACATCTGATTATGACCTAAGTCGATTGCAGATATAAAAAGGGGGAAAAAAAATGCATTTATTTGGTGATTAACAATAAGACACAAAATGGGCAGGCAGTTCCATATCAATATTTAAAACAACTTTTCTGGTCATTAGGATAAAAAAAGAAGAAAAAATATTTAGGAATAAAATAAACTTACTTTGTCATTTTATCTTTGAGAATATTGTGCCAGTAATGCGTGTATTCTTTGACATAGGCAGCGCGGTGACCGCTTTGATATAGAATACACATTTCTTTGAGCTCTGCATACCAGAGCACTAGCTGCTCATCGTCATTGCATTGTTTCATTTGACGGCTGAAAATGTACAATGTTTAAAACTATACCTACACATAAAATACATATTCAACTGGGAAAATTATGTTCATATAATCAATGAAGCAAAATGAAGATGAAATAATTGTGTGCGCTTTTCTTCAAATACAAGAATGTTCATCAAATTATAGATTTTAAGATAATGAGTATAGTATACAGAAGTTATAAATTATGGTCCAATTATATTCAGATTTTGAATAGCGAAACTATTATGAAATATTCTTTACTGAAGGAAAATGTTACGTACCTGATGTCATCTATTTTCACAAATGATTTCAGATAAACCAGTACATGTTCTAATCGGTTTATCGCGGTGAACCTTTTGTCCAGTTCTGTGCGCAAAGGTTCTGTTCGTTGAAGAAAGTCTTTTACTTTTAATTTGAGAGTTTCACTTCTATTCTTAAGATTTGCTATCTGTGTGGAATTCGACTCAGCTTTCGCAACAGCGAGAGATATCTTGTTCGGCACCTCATTGTTAACCAATCTTAACTGAAATTCAAACGTTCATATTGTAAACATAATCATAATCCTTCGTGAAATAAAAAAAATAATCCTGAATTTTTTCACTTACACTGCTCTGCAAAGCTGTTCTCCTTTCTAACAAATCCCGTTCAAGCGATAATGCTTCGCTCAAATCATTAATATCACCACCTATTTTTATGTTAATATCATCAATTAACATTAGCTTCAGGTCTTCATTCATCATGTTAGTTTTTAAAATTTATTGAAAAAACAATCCCCTACAGCTGGCTTCTTCAGGGCATTTTTGACAATTTTGACACAGCAAAACTGATTTTTTAATTTACGTCAAAAACGTCATCGTCAGCTCCCAAAGACATTGTAATTAATTATTAAACATAAAATACGGAACTTGTGGTAACGATAACGATAACGAACATGATGTGATACAATACAATGTGATGTTTACCACTTTTTTGCCTAGTTTTCTGGCTTTTCTTTTCTTGTATGTTGATGGCCTTAACTCTCGTTGCGTGATCGAACAAACCATTTTATCTAAGAACTTATCCTTTTTATCACTCTTTGGCTCTTTGGATTTATTATCAAGCCGAAATGATAGAAACCAAAGCGACTCAAAGCCATGAAGCTACAGATAAAAATGGAGGCCACACTCCGAATACCTACTTGAAGCACAAACTAAGTATCACTATCTCGCTCTCTGTGGGCAGACTCGCTCTTTCTAAATAAACAAAAAATATAAAATTGCTCAAATTCAATGAAACCAATGTAAAATCTTTATTTCTTGACATAGGTATCATTAAAAATGATAAGTGTAATTACTGGTAAAACGTTTTAGGAAGAAATTACTGTAAAAAATGTGAAAAATGTTTACAATGATCCAATGTCGGAAATCACGAAATAAACACTTACGCGTGGAATCTTATGTCACTTCCAGGACACCACGTACTACCGCAACCACGCACTACAAAATTTTGCACCAATTCTTGTGATAAAACAATGATTATTTCCTGTAAACAATCTCAAACGAAATTAACTGCTTAATAAACAAAATAGTAAACAACCGCCATGATGGGCCGGATTGGGCCGATGTTGCCACATGGTACCGATTACCCAGGAATTGGGATTGTAATTCCCTGATTCGCCAACACATTAAGCCTAAATGGCCGACAATTTTGTGATTTTTTATTTAACTAGGTAATCTTAGTTTCAAATATTAATTATTTATTTGTTTAACTTCTGATTTGGTTAGTGAATTGGCTATTTCGAAGAATTTACAAGGAGATTTAAATCAGAAGATAGCAATACTACAGTTCACACTAAAAAGAGAGGTAGGGCCGCAGAGAGCGAGATAGATATAAGTAGGTATTTGACTCAAGTTTTTGTTCCAACTCTGCCCTCCATTTTTATCTTTAGCTTCATGCTCAAAGCGTAGACAAAAAAAAACTATCTGTGCTGTGAAGTGTAAATAAAAAAAAAGACTGTCAGTGTCAATTTTTGTTGTGTGAAGAAGAGTGATTGTGTTTCGGCTCGAAGATTTTTTAATAAATCGAATGTCAGCAGAATTTTATTAAAAAATCTCATTCTTCAATTAGCCACTAAAATGTGGGCGTTCTTAGCCAAGAATAAGAATGATATCATTTATTTGTCGCTGTTACTATTAAGTGTTGCAGTAGGGCCATTTTATAGGTCATTGGGTACAGTGCAAGCTAAGAAATGGAGTGGAACTTTGCTTGGTTTATTGCTCATTGTTATCGTGTCTGGATACAGCGCAATCCATCCCATATTGTCGGCGACATTAGGAATATTGGTCATAAAAGCTACAACAGTCAGGTAACAAAGTCTAAACTTGTAATTTTTTTATTTAACATTTTTTTAATTAATTTCACTTATTAAATGCACACTGAGACAATTTTGGGATAAAGTACCGCATTTATTGTTCCTAAAAAGTTGTGTGTTAAGTACCTACCTTATTATTCATTCTGTTGTAACGTTACAATTCATCAAGTTTTAATTATTCAAGGCTAATCGATGTAGCCCTTTCAACTTCGCATATTTTAATTTACTCGTACCTAGTTTATAAACTATAAAAAGAAATATTTTTGTTTCAGATATTGCCATATAGCTACATTTTTCCTTATGTTTGGCTATTTATTCTTCTTTCGACTGGCTGATAAGTTTGGATTGCCATTATCTTCGGGTCAAACGAATCTCATACAGATGATTATTGTCCTACGAGTGGTGGGAGTTGCGTTTGAAATAAATGGATCTTGGCTAGCGATGGCTAAGAAAAAGAAAGAAGAGAAAGACGTCCCACCAGAATCTGTGGTAATAAAAGAAAAAGACGATGACTTTGTTGAGTTTATCAACCCTAATCTGATTGATCTTTTCCATTATTCATTTAATTATGTGGGTCTGCTTACAGGTGATTGTTTTCATAAAGTATTTTCATTCATAAAAATTATATTCAACTGTCTTTAAAAATGTACTAAGATCCTATTTTATTACAGGTCCATATTACAGATACAGAACTTTCAATGACTACTTCTATCTGCCATTCAGCAAATATTGTGATTGCACCGGTTTTACAATCAACACATTGAAAACTGTACCATTGTATGTTTCTTTGTACTTGGGACTTTCAAACCTTTGGCCTTTGGAGGTGATTTTTTTTAAATTTTTTTTTCAGACCAAACAAACAATAGCAAAAATAAGTCATTATTTTAAATTAGTAGTCACCTTGGGTAACTTTATGTAATTATTAAAAAAAAGTTCTACCTACATATTTATAATTTTGTAAAAATTACTTAATTTACAGAAATTCAAAGTTACCCAAGGTTTGTAGAAGGACTGTTATTGAATTGTTTTTTTATTTTGTATTTTTTTCAGTACATATTAACTGAAGAGCATAACAATAGGCACTTCATATACAGAATGCTCTACCCATGGGTGTTGTTTGCAGCATTCCGTCAACGCATTTACTCTGGCATGACGTTAGCTGAAAGTGTATGCACTTCAGCTGGTTTCGGAGCTTATCCAGTAGAAGGTCGCAATAGAACTGGACATGGGCCAACTGTTGGCTATTTGAAGTTGAAGCAAATGTAATAAATTTTCCTTTATTAATTTATATCCTATTTAATTTATGAATCTAGATTTGCAAAAACTATCAAACAGTCATTTTGTACTCATTCACAATGTGACGGTACCTGATATGAATGTTATTACAAAAAATCATTTCATTATAGGTCTGAGGAAAAAGCAAAACATGCTCAATATGATTTCAATACAGTAGAATCAATGGAAGTCTGGAATTGTGAGACTGTAGTTACCCTCCGTGATTCCATGAAAGTGTGGAATAAGGCTGTGCAATACTGGGTGGCTGTGGTCGTCTATAAGAGATTCCCAATCAAAATATTAAAGTAAGTATACATTTTAAGGGCCCCCGTGCATTAGGCGACGCCACGAAATAAATAGTGACCTAGCCGCGTGGCCTGGTCGCCTGCACGGAAGCCCTAAGATAGTATTTAAACTACGTTGTGTGCAACATTTATAGGAATTCAATTTGAATGCAAAAAAACTAATGTTATTCTATAAAAATGTTTGAGATTGTACGAGGGCTGCACTAAAAGTATCGGGAATAGAATATTTCCACTGTTCCTATCATATTAAAATATTTTTAATTGCAAACACCTTGGTTTTAAGCATCGAATACCATTTATTTATTTAAAAAAAGATTCTCGGTCTTATCACAAGGTCTTGTGAAACTTGTTTAGTCGTTGAGAAAATGGAATTGACTCGAGAAAATTGAAGAGCGATGATTTATTATGACTTTCAGAGTGGTTTAACACAAAAACAGTGTGTTGACCGGATGATTTCTGCATTTGGTAATGAAGCCCCATCCAAAACCATAATTTATCGCTGGTTTGCTGAATTTCAACGTGGACGTGTCAAGCTCAGTGATGGTCCCCGTCAAGGTCGTCCAAAAACTGCAGTCACCCAAGATAACGTTGATGCTGTGCGTAAGCTGATTGAAGAAGATCGACATGTGACATACCGCGAAATTCAGGCAACTTTAGACATTGGCATGAGTCAAATACAAATAATCTTGCATGAACAATTAGGTGTAAAAAAGTTGTTTTCCCGACGGATACCGCATTCGCTCTGTGAAGAGCAAAAAGCGGCTCCCGTTACTTGGTGCATCAGAACTCTCGGAAGATTACATGCAGGATCCTCAAATGCTGTATACAACATCGTATCAGGTGATGAATCCTGGATATATGCGTACGAACCCGAAACAAAAAACCAGTCACGAGTTTGGGTGTTCGAAAATGAGTTAAAGCCAACAAAAATTGTTCGTTCACGGAGTGTTGCAAAAAAAATGGTGGCTACGTTTGTCTCCAAAACCGGCCATGTTGCGACTATTCCTCTTGGGGGACAAAGAACAGTTAATGCAGAATGGTATGCTAGCATTTGTTTGCCACAAGTCGTTTCTGAACTCCGTAAAGAGAACTGCAACCGCCGCATCATCCTCCATCACGACAATGCGAGTTCTCACACCGCGAACAGAACAAAAGAGTTTTTAGAGCAAGAAAACATAGAATTATTAGACCATCCGCCGTACAGCCCCGACCTAAGCCCTAATGATTTCTATACTTTCCCTAAAATAAAGAATAAATTGCGTGGTCAGAGAGTTTCATCACCTGAAGAAGCTGTGGACGCCTACAAAACGGCCATTTTGGAGACCCAAACTTCCGAATGGAATGGTTGCTTCAATGATTGGTTTCGTGTATGGAAAAATGTGTCAAATTTCGCGGAGAATACTTTAAAAAGCAATAAATACATTTTTAAATAGTAATGTTGTTTCACTTGCTTGATTCCCGAAATTTTCAGTGCCGCCCTCGTATTCTGTTGTTGTAACCTATAAATAAATAAATAAATGGTTAAATACAGTGTGAGTCACGTTAAAGTGTACATATGAAAATAGATGAAACTAAGTAGACCTATTTTTATCGACAAAAAAGAGGTCAAAATTTTTTTTAGATTTTTAAAAAAAAAATTATAGATTTTTTTTTCTTCCAATTACTTATTGTAAAGAAAACGTAATAACTTTTAAACTAAGCTGTATATCTTGATAAAATAAAAACAGTAATAATGCAAAATAACAGGCAATACTAAAAAAATACATAAACTACATAAAAAAAGGCCAACAAATAATAAAAAATGATACTTTTTGAAAAAAATCTGCTTTTAAATTCGTGTTTTTTTGGTTATTTGATCAATTTCTCCAAAAAATGCCCGTATAACCGGGGGTTTTTATTACTTTGTATTATTCTCTATCGTATTACCTTCGTAAAACCAAAAATCGCATGTCTCTATCCCTATCACAACGTTTGCAATGATCGTTTGAACTAAGCCTCTCCGGGCGCGCCATTCAACGCGAACGCTTCGTTAACAACGAAATTGAAAATGGCTCTAGATTTGTTATTTTGATAAAGACAAGTTAGATTTCAAATAAAAATAAAAGATTTCGAAGTAAAATAAGCATTTTAGTTAAAATTAAAATTGTCTTTAACTGTAGCGGAGAATAATGTTGTGGCAGGCCTTTGTTCAAACGATCATAGCAAATGTTGTGATAGGGATAGAGACATGCGATTTTTGGTTTTACAAAGATAATACAATAGAGAATAATACAAAGTAATAAAAACCACCTATTATAGGGGCATTTTTTGGAGAAATTTATCAAATAACCAAAAAATCACGAATTTTAAAGCAGATTTTTTTCAAAAAGTATCATTTTTTATTATTTGTTGGCATTTTTTGTGTATTTTATGTATTTTTTTAGTATCGCCTGTTATTTAGCATTATTACTGTTTTTATTTTATCAGGATATACCGCTTAGTTTAAAAGTTATTACGTTTTCTTTACAATAAGTAATTGGAAGAAAAAAAAATCTATAATTTTTTTTTAAAAATCAAAAAAAATTTTTGACCTCTTTTTTGTCGATAAAAATAGGTCTAGTTTCATCTATATTCATATGTACACTTTAACGTGACTCACACTGTATTAAATACCAGGTTTTAAGTTTTCTCACATCAATAAACAATTTTTAGGGTCCATGTGGCGCTGTTTGTATCGGTGATTTGGCACGGATTCCATGCCGGGTATTTCTTCTGCATTTACTTCTGTCCTTTCTACCTGATGGCGGAGGATATTTACTACAAACTTTACTATAAGGAGACCACAGGAATGGTAAGTCGTCATCTTCGTACTCTCGAGTTTAACGTCACTTTCGTTATGTGTCTTGCTATCCTTGGACCACACACATGGTGATGTGATGATAACATTTGGGTGACAGTAGAGCGAGTCCAATTCCATGCAAAAAATAACTAAAGTACGCGAACACCTGGTTATACTCATCGCGATATGGCGCGAATTTTCATATAATGTGTAGCCTAGGGGTTAATAACGTTTCAACTCGGAAGCAGTTGTGTGCTTGTTCCTGCATATCAGACTAGCGTCATATAAAATATGTGACGTCACATGCTTGAATTTTATAAAAGCTTTTATCCCTTAGTTGTCGGCCTTGAAACATTTAGAAAATTGATTGTAATTTTACTTACAGAAAAAGAAGATCATCGGTTTTATTATGTGGTTCCTGAGGACACATTCGGAGTCCTATCAAGCTGCTGCATTCCTTCTTCTCACATTCGATCGTATTTGGATATACTACTCTTCTGTTTACCACTACTGGTACGGAGTATGGCTTGCATTTCTAATCTTAGGTATAGTATTAAATCAAGCACATAAAGCAAGTCGTCCTAAGAAAAACACGGGTGAAAGTGCTGCTACGGATAAAAGTAAGGTCAATTAATGAAGTTATTTAAACTATGACATAAACAGAGATATTTTTATACGAATTTTGTAGATTTATTAGATGAATTATTCTGTTAGTTAATTTAGTAAATATTTTTATGGAAAATATTATTTGTTGAAAAATTCAGTTTGGCTGCTTTTGGTTTATTGTTTTATTTAAAGAATATATTTGGAAGAAATTGAATCTAAGAATTATGAATTTAGACAATAGTCGGTCAGGTACCTGTATTAAGATTTTAAATGTAGGTTGATCTAATTCATAATTTATTTAAAATTTTATTCATAAACTATTAAAAAAAGTTATTTAATCTATTAAAAAAACACTTATGAGATGATATTACAACTATCCAATTCACTCTTAAGATTAGTACCTACCTATGTAAAGACTAAGTTTGAGTAAGTTTATGTAATTTGTGTAGGTATAATATAAATATTATGAAAAGTACATGTGCCAGAATATGAGTCTTGTTGGCAATAATTTGTTAAGATTTTTATGAACAAACACTAATAACTGTAGAATTATAACTTAGCTTAGAATGTAGATCATTGTAAGAGTAATGGGGAATTATGGGCTGGGGAATTTAGAATTAATAAAGGGATACCTACTTATTTAGAAAACACAATGTACAGTTTTGTAAACTTTAATGGTAACTTTACATTCCTTAAAATTCTGAACAAAAACATTCAATATTTTACTTACGTTTTACAATATTATAACTGAGGTACCATAACTTTGTAAGCCATTTACTTATTGCTCATGTTTTCTAGTCTGTATTATTAAAGTTAAGAGATTCAATTTGAGTTTTTTATTTTAATCTCATTTCTAATCCCAATAGTTTCGGATAAGCTAATAAGCTTTATTATTTGCGGCTTATAACATTTTATTTTTATTCTAACTTATTCACTATACTGACGTCTGGATATATCGGTGTATCAGGCACATCACTACCATTGCGATACTGAAATGAAAATGCACAGTAAAACATGGCACAGAATATTGATAAATAAATCCAAATGAGTATTCTTATAACATAGTTGTATAATACATTGTAAAAGTGCATATAAAAAACAGCACGTCAGCCGTAACATTTGAATATGAAAATAGACCTTTATTCATCAGTAATAAGAACTTTTGCAAAATGTTACGCTTGATATGCCGTCGAGTGTACATTTGAGAATATTAATTATCATGTTAGCCTCCGAAGACCTTAGTATTTCTTAATTAAATTAGCTTCAAACTTACAAGCCTTGTTTATAAAATATTAACATTAAGTTATTTTGAGTAAAAGAAGGTAAGGCATGACTGAATACCATGGCTAAGAAAGCGAACTTTAGCAGTCCCATGTCTTGGTTAGTTCGAGAATTCTTATTTTCTTACAATGTACGAAAATAACTTATACATAAGCGTTGGCGAAAAAATTAAAATGTAAAGCATTATCCAACACAATGAGACGACGAAAAAATTAATCCATAAAATAATAATATAAAGCTTAATTGCGGTAAACAGTATTTAACTAATTCAGGAATATCAGATCATTTATCAATACCATTTTAGTATTTGTATAAAAGCTTGTTCTTTGTGACCTAGTCAACTGGTAATGTGCTAATAATACCTATAACTTGTAATATTTACACAATCGTAGGTACATAATTCTTAAAGCCAATATTTTATCACATGTACAATTACATTGCAAATAAAATCTTGCCTAATTATAAATCATGATTTAGATTTAGGTTACATTGCTACATGATGTCTATTAGTGTATGAACAGTAAACTGCAGTTAATATAAATTAAAAAGAAATAAAAGAAAAAGTGCTCGCGACATGCAAAGCTGAAAGAAAAATTACACCGAGCGACACCACACCAAAAACTACGCATATCTACGTTATTTACCCAACGTTCCATCCGTACGACACTGGTTTGTGTGTGGTGCCCGCACTATGATGGGTGTTGCTTTGCCCGTAATTCTTGTTTTGGGTGGGGGTCTGATAGCTCGGTTGACCTGATGGATAATACTGAGGGTTAGAACTCCTGGAATTGGAGCTATAAGAAGAGTAATTAGGATTCTCCATAATCGGTCTCGAGTTGAATAAGTTGTTCAAACCTCCGTTCTTGGTTATATCACTAAGGATGCTTCCGAAGATGTTGGAGAAACCGCCTGATCCGCCTGAGCCGGTTCCAGGTTTAGTGCCACCGCCGCCGGTGTTCCCACCAGCGTATTTGTTTATGGTGTTCAGAATGCTGTCGATGGGATTTCCGTTGCTACCTGAACTGCCACCGAAACCTCCGAAAGGGCTGGGATTAGAGCCACCGTGGGAATTACCTCCGTATGGGCTATGCCCTCCGTTGGATGACCCTCCGTAAGGCGAACTTCCCCCATAGGGCGAGTTTCCGCCGTATGGGGAGTTGCCTCCGTAAGGAGAGTTGCCTCCATACGGGGAGTTACCACCAGTATTAGTGTTGCTCCCGTAAGGGGAGTTGCCTCCATACGGGGAGTTACCACCAGTATTAGTGTTGCTCCCGTAAGGGGAGTTGCCTCCATACGGGGAGTTACCACCAGTGTTAGTGTTGCTCCCGTAAGGGGAGTTATTGCCGTATGGGGAGTTATTTCCGTAAGGGGAGCTTCCTCCGTAAGGGGAGTTTCCTCCCGACGGTGGGGCCGGGGCGGGGTAGTTAGGGGCTGAGTCAAAGTTATGCGTTTGAGGTTTGGGCGTTGTCACAGATGGCTTCGCAGGCTCTGCGTGTGATCCTGAAATGAAAAGTACACAAAAGTCAGAACAAGTAGGTAATTAGTACATGGATGTTGTCTATCTATCCTTGATTATTCAAGGAATACAAATTTATATTTGCGATTGGTTGTTTTGTGTTTTTTTTTTTCAGTGTTAATGGGGACTTCACCCCACTAATACTGAAAAGAAAAACCATGTTACATGCATGTCTCTTGCTGATGGTTTTAATTAACCTTGGATGGATTACACTCTATTTGGTTTATACAAAGAGAAGCGGGATTAACCTGCAATAACCAACCGTAAATAAAGGATGTTTAGGCTGAAATTACGTTACGATACATACCTACTACTGACGAATAGAAAAATAAACTTTTTGCTCACCTTCAACTTGCGACTTCTTCTTGCAAGTGGGGTATGTCCCACAGTTGGACGAGTGCCCGAAGGAGCAGGGGTCCTCAGCTAACACGCACACTTCGCTGTTGAGACATCCTATGTCTTTGCATGTTCGGCCGTATTCTGAAAAATATAAAAGAATATTTTTATACGTTTTCCGGCGTGGAAAATTAATTTTTATTTGGTGTTTGTCTGAGTCAAACGTTTCTTTAACCGAATAGGCGCTTTACATTTTCTAAAGTATGTACGAGAAACGAAACATGTGTAGTATTTTCATTTAGGTTTAGGACTCGCTCTTACTCAGTTAACTCGATCTTATCTATTCTCCTTATAGTTCTATCCCAATACAACTTTTAAATTCTGTCCGCGTCCACAAATAGCCAAAAGCAAATTGAAAAATTCCGATTCGTCAAGTGTTGACAAGGGGCGGTCTGCAGGCCATCATGACTCTTACCGGACTATTCACAGACGTGTCCACAATTTACTCCCATCTCATGGCAAAATAGATTTCCCCAGGTGAAAAGTGTTCGAAAATGTAAAAAAAACTCCATAATATCACATGAATATATTTTATTCCGCTGTGTCTACGGGAACTGTGCCCTTTTTATAACCCGAAAGGCGTGACCGGGTAAAGAATTCGGTTGTAAGGGAATAGGGAATATTTGCATATACAAGATTATATACTTAGATTAGGCTCGGCGACCTCCTTGAGACTCAATATCACACGTAATAAAAGGCAACCGAAACGGAACGGTTTTTGCCAGTGAATTGTTTCTCGTATAAGCTTTTCGTGCTTTATCCTGCCAAATACCGTATTAGGAAGGCAATTGCGTCCTATATAAAATAAATGCAGGAATGGGTATGTTCATGCCTTCATTTGTTTGGATATAAAATAATGGATTGTTGTTATTCGCTCCTTTTGGTAACGTTTCACCCAGTGTTGTGGAAATAATTCGGGAACATTACACCGTCGGATTTAGCCCGCAATTTATACAAGTTTATTCTTTAGGTGAGAAAACAATTTATCGAAAAGGAATGGGGTAAAAATATAAAGAGGGTATATGTCCACCCACAGGGTCACACTCCTAAGAACATTTCGATTACTAAGATTTACACAGAATTTTACGGTCGGGTTATCGCTTTAGCCCCGGGATAAGAATAATGACGTCATAATATCGTCCAAAACTTTTAGTGAAATTTCGTATAGCATTGTTGCCGCAATAAAATCTGTTTTGCGAGCTCCATAAAGAGGCAAATCTACGTCGAAAATGTTTTAAGCCGAAAGTGAGAACGCGTGGATTCCGCGCTAGATGTTTCGAGACAACTTGAGGAGCGACTTTAGAGGCAATAAAGACGAATAAAAAGAGCATCATAAGACCGGATCATAACTCATTGTTTTGTTATTTTCGAGGCGAGCGAGTTGGTTTTATGTGTGCATTAGGTAATGGATTTGAGCAATATCTTACAGGCAAGATGTACGTGCCCGAAGACGGAAGCTACAGTCTGACCAAGAATGAGCGAAACGATTCTAGGTATCGCGATGCGAGATCTTGTTCGAGTCACGAGTTCAAGAATCGTTGCAATTTGATCTCTTGTGTTATTTATATTGTTTCGTCAATGCTTTCTTAAAAATAATTTGTTACATTAAACTAACAAAGACTTGGCTTTGGTTTAAAAGCGCAACTGATACCATAGTATCAGTTTATCATTACTCATCCAGACATGAAAATAGCTTAAAGAAAATTAATTAATCATTATAACTTTGCTCTAGTAGTGATGCCTTTATGATGCACATACTTAAAGGAAATTATAAATGTGAAACACTACGTTACTTAAGGAAACAAAGCTAAATTAGACAGGGAAAACTTACTTGAAAATCCGTCAGCATAGAGAACTAACGCGAAGGCTATTAGCGCAGTCTTCCAATCCATCGCGGTGGGCACTGTAACAAATAAAACACATGAATTATAACATAATACACTTCGGATGAGTTACGTACGATACGTGTTCCGAGTAGAACTAAGCAGATGATTGTAGCTTGATGAATATAAAGCTAAGCTCGTAAAAGCTTCGAGATTGAGATTTATACAATGTAACAAGGGCTGATTCAACACTCCGCCTGGAGAATTCAACTACAGCCGAGCATGCCTCGGCCATTCCACATCAGTGTAGCGTTTAGCTGTTATTCGCAACAATATGGAAAGAGTAACAAAGTTGGGGATGTAACAGCCCGCACGTGTACTCCGCCGTCAGCTCTACAAGTTTATGACAGAGCAACATTCCTTGAACAATTCCCTGGAAACTGTTCCGTGTAACCTCGTTAGCGAGCGGTGCTGGGCGAATGCTTTGCGGGTACGAGGCAAGTTGCCGCCTTTATTGAAAACCGGGGCGTTCCGTCAATTTGGCTGGATGCAGCCGTGTGAGCATAAAGATTTTACGCTGGTCCTGATATTGGGACACAGACTAAACTAGCTGCACGTAGACTAGGATTCTCCCGAGCGAGGAATTTTTCCGTCATCTTTATAGTCTGCCTGTCTTTATCAATTGACGGCGTTTTCCGTGGAAAAAGGGTGTTGAAATTGATACCATGGCTGCAATTTTACAGTCATATTCCTACTCTATGTGTCTGAAATCACTCTCCTTGAACAATGCTTTGAAAGTCTACTGAATCAGTAAAATAAAGAGTCGCGACTGCAGAGCCGGACAAATTACGGATATGAAAGAGCTTTGACTATGTGCAAGCGTTTGAGAACAGCGTTAGTTGTTTGTGGCATTGTAGCCTTTGTTTAAAGCGGGACGTTCGGCGAAATTAGCTGGATGCAACCGTCCGTTGTAAAAGCTTTTATGTTGATATTAATTATGCTGATTTCTAAAGATCCTACGGTTTTGATAAGGCCTAATGACCCATAACTTATACCTATGCCGTAAGAATAAGTAATGTAGGTAATGGCAAAATGAAGCATGTTCCACTTATTAGCATTGCAATTGTTGTAATTTTCCGAAAGAAAATGTTCTATTTTATTAATATGATGATATTTTTTTGTATAAAAAACAAAAAAAATTCCAAGAAGTGCCAATGAACAATAATATTATCACAACAACTCATAATGAGTCGATAAAAAAAACCGAATGATGCGTATCTAAATGTAGAACGTCAACAAAAGATGACGACGAGAAATGTGTTCACTTATCTCAATCATAACACGGACCCATGAGAGTAGTAGTAGAGTAGTTTATAATTCTACAATGTCACCGCAGAAACACTGAATTCCACTAACTCCCGCAAATAAAGAACCAAATGAAGCTAGCCTAAAACGACTAGTGGATTGAGTGGCTGGCACAGTACACCGCGCCCTGAAGTCACGCAGGTCAATCAAGGCCAGGGTTCGTGGGTCGGGCGGTCACGCGACGTCTAACAATTTCGCTCTAAATACTGAATTACAGGAAAAATCAATGGACCCGATCCACAGGTTGCGCTAAAATGAAAAGGTTAATTGGAAACGGCATGGTTCGATTGAATTGCCACAGCTTTTGAGTAAAATATTAAATACCTGTGTTGTTTTGTTTGCGTTTCATCCACATATTAACACATACATTCAAATGCTCTCATTTACAAAAATCTATTTGATTGTATGAGCAATAACTCATTATTTATCGAATTGTTTATGAATCAGACTACTCTTTCCGCAAATATTTCGATATAATCGGCTCTGGTCGTTACCCAAAAATTATGGCATGAGCGGAAGAGACAGGATAAAGCCGATATATCAAAATCGTTTTGCAGAGTACTCCCTGACAATCTATTGGACTATGGAATCGAACGAATGTAGTGGCCGCTTATGCCAATATTACAGGACCTTCGGGACTTAGCTCTTAAAGCCGTTTCTGTATTTTCAGTTCTATTTGTCGTTGTCGCTCACTCGGCATTTCGCTACGAATGAAATGGATAGAATCGAAAATACACGGTTGAAAGTCGACACAGATGTACGAAGGTCTATATTTCCTCGTCCATTCGAATCGAGTTAAAAAACGCAAATCAAAGAAAATTAGTAAATCCGAATTGAACTAAAGCCCAGGACATCGCATGTGACGACCATTTCACAGGTGCGCTCGTGCTGATGAGATTAGAATTAATGGCGAAGCCCTGATTAAAAAGGACGCCGCGGTGCAGAAATTAAAAGGATCCCTGGGGGGATATTACATGCCATAGAGCAGAAATTGGATAGCGATACGCGAGATATATTGCCCGACATAAAGCCGTGCTCGGTAACTTTCTACCCATTTCCGGCAGCCCACTTGTGAATCGTATTTCGGAATCCTTTTTATCTTTTTTGCGATGTGGCGGTGGTGTGCGAAGTGACAGCGGCACCAAGCCACTTCGCAGCGCATATATCACCCGAGCCTGTTACGGCCGTGTTAACGGCCCGCTGTCGCCTTCGAGCTTCACTCGTCCGGCTCCATTGTTTGCTTTAATGGCGTGGGTAATGTTTCCATCGGAATATGCCAAAAGCGTAAACAAATTGACACGGGAAAAGCGGATGACAAATGTGAGCACGCCGCGCCGAATGCCAGTACGTGACGATCCGTGAGAATATAGTTGGTCGCAAGATTTGGCGCGTTCAAATTCCGGAGGCGATGCATCGTTGCCGGCTTCCAGTCCACAAATTCAGGGATTGCAGGGGGATGCGACGGGTGTAAAGCGAGGGTGTCGCACACCGGGATTTATATCGGCGGAAATCTCCGATGTGTTCACACTTCACGCTCGTGGGATGCCGACGCCAGATAAAATGTTCCGCAGCCGGAATCGTGTGGGCTCTTTACAGATTTTCGTTCTTAACTAAGCTCGTACACAACGGGACGGCTCAGAGATTTAGCCGGCGTATATTTGTGTAAGGCCCCAAAGAGGCAGTCTTGGCAATTCAGTTCAAAGTTTCCTCAACAAATAAGTTACCTACGTGCTTAGTAATACACTGATTAATCAAATTACTCATAAGTAAAGTATTTATAGGAAGACTGTTCTACATAATTATATTTGCATTAACTGACACTTATTTCCGCAAAAGGAATATTTGCTCAAGCACTTCTTTTCAAAATCTAAAGTTTCGTGAAATATCAAACAAAATTATAGCAGACTCGCAGAACTTACCAGAGCAATTTTAGCTTCCTTTATTATTTAATGGAGAGTCACAAATTCACGACCGCGTTACAGAACTGCGTAAAACAAGGTGACGATAATACACAAACTTGAACCGCGAATGACTGAAGTCTCTGTGCTCGGACTCGGGCTTGGAGAGATAACAAGGGGTAATTTGTAAATGAGATCATTCATTTAATAGTCATACTATACAAGACGTAACAATGTTTACCTTAAGCTACATCTCGGAAGCTCACCTATAAATACCTTAGTAATCCGCTATTCGTAGTAATCTAAAGCTGGGAAATACGTTTGTTTAGGAAGGGTTACGCGTGGATTATTTTACTCCTTTTACCTATCGTAGAGAATAAAGGTTAATTTGGAATTTAACTAACAGTAATTTAGTTATTTCAATGGTTCGCTTCAATCTTTGGATGACCTACCTAATTTATGATATTCGTAAATATTTATAATTGTACAGATTCTTAGTTTTCTTATCATTGTATAAACGCAATTAGTTTAATTGCGATCAAACTTCGTCCAATTAAATCGTGTTTTGTATACGCAAAGGCTAATGCAGTTTCAAAACGTTAGATCTATAAACTTTCGGCCATTAATATGGACCGTATTGTTAGTTATGATGTCTCCAGCTTACAGTCTGAAAATTACTGCTTAAGTTCAGGCCATTGTAGGGTGAATGATTACACCCGAAACAAAGTGGAACTGCCAAACAAATACAATCATTTGGACAAAGACACAAGTACCTACATCGATTGTAAAAATTATGGTTCTTTGAAATTTTACGTCATCAGTAATTTTGTCCACAAAAATATCGTACAGTCATAATATACTAAATACAGTTGGGTCACAGCTGTACTAACGAGTGGCATGTATTTAATAATTATATTACAAACAAATGGATAGGACGGGACTTGGAACAATAAACAGTAGCGTGTTTAATTGACTGGCAGACAATTAAAAAGATAACCCAGTTGCAAAAACGTTGCTACCATAGCTTGCATATTTCTTCAGAGATATTTAACAAAAAGTAACAAAAAGCGATCACTAATTCGAAGCAATTAGAGAATGTCAAAACGTTTACAATTTAATAAAAATAATAATATTTCTACTTGTATAAATAAAACGGACTATCAACAAATCTGTCCCCAATCCCGAATCCACAACGTCTAATGAGCAAGAAACAGCTGAAGTAACGACCGAAGAATCTGTACAATTGGGAATAAATGGAAAATGTTTTAATAAAACGAATAATGGGGTGACGTTAATCATCGGTTGGAATAGGGCCAAAGAGGATAACGGGTATTGAGCGGCGGGCATAACTCACATATGCGACTAAATGTCTCCTTGCTAAAAGTACTCCTGCATATTTTCCAATTGAGAAAACCTTTGCCAAATGTTTAGAAACAGTTCTCGATTCAGAGAATAAAAGTCAGTTCTGGAAAATGACGTATAATCCACATAATGCATACGATATTTTTTAATGCGTATTGCGTACTTATGCGGAGTAGCGGATAAGTTTATATGAAATCTGCTGCTTACAAGAGGCGTCATTTGGGAATCTGTATTTAAGTTTAAACTTATTGACACACATAAAAACATGTGTTTGTTATATTTTTAGTAGTCCTGGTTTGGAACCGTGAAAATGGTGTAAACTGATTTTCATTTTTGTGAATACGATTCTAAGTGAGATGGGGCAAGATGAGAAATCTTTGATCGAAGATTCGACCATTAGTTAAATCATACAATACCACTTCCATCGTTCGCTGTGAGCAAGAAATGGTTACCCTAGTGTAGCTGGAGGCTAGACCTAACAGAATAGTTTTCAGGTTTTTGTAGTTTCATACCCCAAGGACCCGACCTGAGCCCATTAGTTCGGTAACGAAATCTGTCTGTCGGCGCAGGCCTCAAGTTTCTAAACGGAATAAGATTGATATTAGTTTGAAATAGATTTTTTGCGAGGTGCTAAACGTTGCGTCATGACATCCTAGAATTACATCCTTGTTTTTCGCTATTTTTGTTACAATCATGAATTAGGTATGTTTATACGACACGTGACAGATTGGCTTAGATTTAGTTCTTTTCCGCAGAGATAAAACCTGTAAAAGAATACTCATCGGGATGATGAAAATATTTTTGTACTTAGTTTTTATTTAAATTTTGAGATGGGTCTAGACAAAGTGCAAATTATAATCGCAAACCAGTCGAAAAGCCCCTTTTTTGTATGGAGTTTTGACGGATTCGATTTTCGATTCGATCAAAAAGTGCGTTTTGTCTAGGGGGGCTGACTATGTTTAAAGTCAGACAACTTAAAAAGATCATTCAGGTAGCATACAAAAAGTCTTTAGTTTATAAATCTAAATTATTCTTCATCTCCATGTTTTTTAATGGCAAAATCATCCAAACTCATTAATGGCAAAATAATAATATTAATACTACGTCAAAGCGTGGGATTTCTACCTACAAAGTAGTCGTCAATGTAATCATAGACACAACAATGATTTCCTTTAGCGTGAGAAATAACAAGTGCGCTTTGGACTAGCGTGCAACGGGTTCTGCTGTACATTTACATCGAATCGCATCATATTATTTTTGATGTAAGTTACATTTACTCGTACCTATTTATTTTCTTTTTTTCACAAATCAACTGAGCCCTCAGAAGTTCAGAACAAAAAATCTGTAACATAACTTACACAACACATACATACATCTACCAAAAACGACACCAAAGAGTCGGAAACAGATACGAGCAGTGTTTGAGAAATAAGTATCTGCTAATACACCTACCAATTTCTCAGACGTACACAAAAAACACTTGCTTTTTTATAGGTGTTCCGTTTCTCAAAATTCCAATGAGCCCCAAAAGCAGGTTTTCCATGCAAGTCTGGTGTAAAACATCCTATCCTTGAGAGCGGTCATGCCATCAAGAAACAAGATAAAGCCGTGTTCTATGTAGAGACTATTTGTTAGATGTTACTAGAGTTGTTTTGGCAAAGCGTCTACTCTGTATAAACACGCAATCAATTCAGAGAAATGATACGAAGAGACGAGAGGTTGTGGAGAGACAAATAGCTTATTTGGACTAGAGCAAAGAGGAAATGCCATATTGAGCAAAGTGGAAATGCATTTGTTTAGAAAACAATTACAATGGAATGCTGAGAAATTAGATAAATGAAGAAGCACTGATGTCGTGCCCTGAGTGCCCGAGCAACTGCACTCAGGAGGATTTGATGAGTGCTGCTGACAACGCCACTCTTGTGGCGGAGTTTTGGGCTGACACTGTGTAGGTTTGTTGTCGACACGAAAAGAAGAAGAAGAGAAATGAAGATATACTTTTTAATTAAGGTAAGGGCACTTACCGCAGTTAGCGCAAAGAATTAGGCAAAAAGGTTGCGTGAGAGGGAGCAATAGGTAAGCGTCTGTCAGAACTTCTGACTTAGAAGGCAGTCATTGGAAGTAATTATTGGCAAGCGATTACCCATACCATAGTTATTGCATATTATCTGTGTTAAATGTACTTTTTCTTAAATGTTATTTTAAATCTTTATTAGTCCTCTATCAAAATAATATGATTTGAGCTGGGGGTTGATTCTTACTTCTTAGCTACAAACTATTCTGATCATCTCCTGATTGAATTAGTTGCAGGTTCAATGACAGTTTTAAGTTAAACCTTGGACAAAAGTTAGCCATCATTCATGAGGTCGATCGGAGCTGATTCTCCAAGACTATTATCACAAATTGTAGAACACCTATTAGTCCTTATTTTAAAAGTTTAAGCTTATAACAAAACCCTGGATTGTATGTATGCCGAGTTTACGCAACGTTGGGGTTAGGTCGATGTGATTATCACTATCATAGCTACGACGTATTCAATTGAAATAGAATATCTAAACGGCAAAGGTCAAATAAAGGCAAACAACTCGCTTTTATCCAATTTGTACGAATAATCATATTGACTTCATTCACAAGGAGGTCGTTGGTTTATAAAATTAAGGACGAATTCGTATTGTTCCGCTTAAACTAAAACAATGTTACGCTAAAATGTGCGAACTACATATACTTGAAATTTTGTGAATGGGTCTCTGATGCCAAAACAATAACATACATTTATTAGTTACTCAAATAATACTACTAGTTTGTAATGTTATATTTGGGATTGGTCATGAAAAGTTAGCTGCCTGAGAAGGGACTTGATTACTTGAATCTTTCTAGGCGATTACTCCGAATCTGAGCATTGTAGTAACTATTAAGTAAGTAATCTGTGATTAAGCCACGGCGACATTAGTTGAAAAGCCTTACAGAATGTTCCAGACATTTTCACGGTGTAAGTCTAAAGGGTTTTCGACTGGATAGAAACTAGCTATGCAAGGAAGGACCCTGAGTCCCTGATCTTTCCCACTATAATAACACTACATAAAGTATGTGGGCTGACTACTGGGAAGAAGAATTAGAAATTTCATCATGTGCTTATGCTTGGTACGTGTCTTTAGAAAGAAAATATCTTCCAGAACCGAATTCAATTTGCGCTGTTCCATAATGCCGCATGGAAAATGATATTTCTGAGTTTTAGTAACGTCCTAAAGTTTATGATTGTTACATTCTGTGTAATGTCCACAACGTCGTAGCTGTAAAGAAACTTCCGCTACTGCGATGTAGCGATCTTTTACGAAACGGTTAGTGATGTGCCGAGGAGTCTGGACAGGGTTACGAATAAATATTCTTTCTTCGTTATTCCAGTTATACTGATAATAATGTGAAATAATGCATGCATGTAAAGTTTCCCAGACCAGTTTTTGATTACCTACTAAAGTTCGTACGTCAAAATTTTTTTTGTATTAAAACTCATTTATTTCTGTAAATAGGCTTAAAAAAAGCACTTTTACTATGATTTTTTATTATCATATTACAAGATCCTGCGTTTTTGGCTTTAGTATCCATACAAAATGGCAATTTTATTTTAAGACAAGTGACCCAAAAATCTAAGTGGTTACTGATGCCTGTACGAATCATGTCGAGCGGTATAGATTGCAGAACATCTCTAAAATCTGGAATTGCTGGTTTCTGGGGGTGAAACGTGACTTACGCTCATTCGGCTTTGTGACATTAGCGGGTTGTTCCTGGCAGAAAGCCATAATTGTACGGTCAAGT